AGGTGGATCTACTCGTCGTACAGTTTTCACTCCGGAGGCAACGGGAAGAATGCCGTAAAGCAGTTTCCGTATGTTTGGTTACTATGCCGTTCTTTCGTAATATTTATGAGTGACATCTTTATGAGACTGTTCTCGACTTTCGTTCGGCTTCATCTGGAATATACTGCGTCCAGGCCTGTTCGCCTCTGTCTCGTCCGGGAGAAACTGGAACTAGTGTGGGTTCCACGGATGGGTACTAGGTTGGTTGACGGATAACGGGGACAGATGTAGCCCGAGCGTCCAGTTCGTTTACGAATGCATCCCATGTATGACCGAAGGGTTACAGGAGACCTAATCCTAACCTACCGTATCTTAACTACGAAGGTTGGTCCAGATTTGTTGGCCATTCTTCTAGATTCTCTGTTCTCTGCGGTCCGTTCAGATTAGGGTGGAAATCCGGCTGTCACGCCGTCACCAATTGCTGGTACATTCTTCCGGAAATTGTTATCAGCGAATTTACGGTTAAGGGGTTTGAGCGTCAAATTAACGCTCTTGGGTGGCAACACGAAACTTTTCCCTTTTTTGACTAAATCGCATATTCATACTTCGGTTTTCTTTCCTCTACTTTTTCATGCACTGGTGTTATCCTCTTATTTCAAGTGAACTTCCTTATTCTGTACCTTCGATTTCTCTTACTTCAAGTGACTGCCACTGCAGGGACTTCTAGGGCTGGAAACGTGGGCATTAATTGGTTGGCCAAGGTGCGATACGGGTGTTCCGTTTTAGGTCCGTCAAAAACTCCAGGCACTTCATCAATTTCTGGCTCAACGATCCAGATAGCGGATAGCGTCGTCCTGTACTGCGGAGATCTCGCTTAAGTGTATTTCTTTGTGCTACCACTGGTTTACGTCGTTTATCATTTCCTCATGGCTTCTAAATGTGTTACTTGTAGTAAGGGTGTCACCGACCGAAGGCCGTACAGTGCTCTGCGATATGGTTAGATTCACGCTGCCTGCTGTTGTATCTGTCCGAGCTTATATTTATATCTACAACGGATAACGTCTCAAGCTATCGTTTCATTTTGTGATTCCTGCAAACTAACAATCAGTGACAGACGTCTGCTTCCCGGTTTACCAGCGCTTAGTCCACGTCCCTCTCTTCCTCACACTGTGTTGCTTTCTTCCCCGGACTCAGTTTCACCTGCGGGTCCTCTTTCCCCCTGTTCTGGATGTGTAACTCCCATCGGTAAACAAAGTCGTGTCACGTCTTCCTCAGTAAATGTTGTTGCTCAGCATGCCGAGCCTGCGGTCGGGACCTATGCATCTGTGGTGCAAGAACTCGCGGCCCCGTCAGGCAGCCGCAACTCAGACATGCGACAAGCAAAGCCAAAAGCAAAATCTAGTGTCAAATTCACGCCCTCTTCGCAATTGGAGATTAAACAAGTTCTTGATAGAGTTACTCAGTTGGAGAATTTGTTTAAGGACAAATCGATTTCTCATAAGCAGCAGGCATCTAGGGACTCCTATCGCCCCTCTCGTGACCGCTGCCTTATAGTTGTAAATGCGCCGGAGTCTTCTAAAGCTACGCCAGCTGAAAGGATTCTAGATAATGAAGCGTTCTTAAAAGGGGCGCTTTCATTGTTGTTTGATAACGGTGAACCAGGGATAACTGTTATTTCTGCCTTTTGCATTGGCAGGAAGCAGGAGGACTTTACAAAGTTTCGCCCTCTCAATGAAGATGAATGCAGGTGCATCCTCCGACGCACTTCACGTCTTAAAGGAGAATCGTTTTATGTTCCGAGAGACCTGTCACCTGAGGATCGGATAAAAATGAAGAGTGCAGTTGATGAACTTCGAACCCGCCGGGCAAATGATGAGTCGGACCTTCACATTGCGAATTTTTGAGTGGTTCAGAGGACTCCGAGAACTCGCTGGAGACCCATCCTTGTCCTACCCGGACAGTAAGGTCGAAGAACTGTTTGCGTGTATTGTCCGCTAATGTGCGCAGTTTGCGGAACAAATTGGACGAGGTTCAACTTCTTGCCATCGATAATCACCCTGACTGGATAGCTTTCCTTGAGACCTGGCTGTCCCCGGACATCCGTGACTCGGAAGTATATATCCCTGGATATCACTTCTCCCGGGCTGATCGCCACGGAGCGAGGTCAGGCGGTGGCGTTATACTCTATTGGAGGGCGGACCTCAAGGCACATTTACTTGATGCTACTTGCGATATAGATAGTGGCTTCGAAGCTCCGTAGTGTCGTATTCATGACGGGTGTAGATCTCTCCTGGTATGTGTCACCTATAGATCTCTCTTGGGTTCAGTAGCTCTTTTGCTGGATTCAATGAAATCGCACGCCAAAGATAAGGACTGCTTAACTGTTGGAGACTTCAATGCACCTGACATTGAATGGGACTTGGTTTATTGTGGTCTTCCTTCTGACTCTTTTGATGCTCATCTCCTTCAGACCGTTCTCGATTGTAACTTGTTTTATCATGTATTTTCACCCACTCGGTTGTTCTCAGGCCACACGCCGCACATTCTTGATCTAGTGCTCTCCCCGATGCCGTCAGGTGTTATCCACCTGATTGTTATGCAACCTAATGGTAAGAATGATCACTGTGCTATTTCCTTCCAATGGGCACGTCGATTTTCCATTCATGACCAAAGTGATTTCCGGCGTAATTTCTGGCGAGCCGATCCGCAGCGTCTGCAGGAGGTTGCTTCTAACATGGACTGGACCATTCCTCATTTTTGAGTGTTGACGATGCTTGGACTCACTTTTACTCCTATAATGATGTCGCTAATCAACCAGGTTGTTCCCATTTCTACAAAAAGAGGTCCACAAGATGTCCTCCTTGGATCGACAAACAGTGGTGGTCTCTGATGAACAAAAGACGTAAAGTATGAGACCGATTCAAGCGTACACAATCGACGGCCGACTACTTGGAATACAAAACGCTTAGGAACCTTTGTACCCTGAAGAAGCGGGAGAATCACCAAAACTACCAGTTTCAATTGGCTTTGCAGTCCAGGTGCTCCCCCAAAATGTTCTTCTCATATCTGAAAAGGGGCACCAAAGGTGGTAATGGCATTTCATCTCTGTATTCCAGTAAACACGCTGCCTTACTTCATGAGGATGCTGTAAAAGCGAATCTCTTAGCTCAACGGTATTCATCCTTTTTTACAAATGAAATTCCGTTTTCTGACGTTGTACTCTCGTGCTCATCTTTGCTGAATCATCTTGAGATCAGTACGGAAACTGTTACTCAGTTCCTTCTCCAGTTAGATCGGAATACCTCGCTTGGTCCTGATGGCCTGCACCCTCTCTTTCTCAAGACCGTGTCTAAGTACATTGTAGCTCCAGCTTGTCATGTGTTTCGTTGCTCTATTGAATCCGGACGCCTTCCATCAGCTTGGAAACTGGGCGTTGTCAACCCCATATATAAAAGAGGGAATCGCCAAGACCCATCAAACTATCGTCCCGTTTGCCTAACATCAGTAATGTGTAAAATTATGGAATAGATTCACAAGGGAGCTATCAGCCTTTACTTCGAATACCGGAGTCTGATTTCTACTGCTCAGCATGGCTTTCGAAAGTCACGCTCGTGTACCACCAATTTGTTAGTTGCCGGAGAGAAATGGGCGAACTCACTGGATGCGGGCAAACGTATGGACGTTATCTACGTTGATTTCAACAAAGCGTTTGATAAAGTGCCTCATGAGCGGCTTTTGTTCAAACTTCAAGGAATTGGTGTCTCTGAGAAGGTTCTCTCGTGGATCTCTGATTTTATTTCAGACCAAGTTATGCGAGTTAGGGGCAATGCTACGTATTCAGCCCCGTCCTTATAAACCGTGGCGTCCCTCAGAGCTCTGTTCTCGAACCAGAGTTGTTCAAATTCTTTCTTAACGACCTTCAACTCTCCGGACCGAATGTTTGATTTATGCTGACGATTTGAAGTTATGGATGGAGGTATCCAGTACAGAGGATGCTGACTGCCTCCAAAATACACTGGATCGGCTGCACGATTGGTCAATTAAATGGCAGTTGTCTAAAAATCGCGATAAATGTTCTGTACTCCCCATTGGTGCTATTGAACCATTCGGTGTTTACCAACTTGGCGGTTATTTGCTTAATAATGTAAAACAGGAAAGAGACCTTGGGGTTATTGTATGTTATGATCTAAAAACTACACACCATACTTTGAGGTGGGTTGCCGCGGCTAACAGACTCCTGTGCTCTATCCGAAGAGCCTTCTCACGATTGAGGCCAACGATTTTCAGACTTCTGTTTTCCTCACATGTGCGTCCGATCCTCGAATATGAATTATCCGCAGTTCATCGGCTTACAAAGTTGGAACATGGCCTGATTGAGAAAGTTCAGCGGCGTGGTTCTAAGTGCATCTTTGAGCTCCGACACCTGCCCTATCACATTCATCTTGAATATGTTCTCTCTGGCATATCGGCATCGTCGAGGAGACCTGATCTACGCTGGGCGCATTCTGCGAGATGAGATGGGAATCGAGCTCCAATGTGTTTTCTAGATTAACACAGTGTTCGACACGGGTCCACTGCTGGAAACCGTTTAAATCTAGGAGACCAAGGCTTCGCTCTGATATTACCCTATGGTCTCGTGTGGTGAACGACTGGAACTCCTTGCCTGATTCCGTCGTCAACGCGCATACTGAGGAACGTTTTAAACAATTGTTGGGTTTATACTTGTTGAATTTGCAGGGATGTTGTTGTTTATATGCAACTGTGACAACCTAACTTGTTGATTGCTATTGTGCAAACACCTGCTGTGATTGGGTTGATGGAGCTGACAAAGGTCTTTCCTTCTGCTCTCTACATTCTAATCGTCCAATGAGGAAGGAACACTCACGGAATTCTGCTATCGTTGCAGTCCAACTTGAACTTGAACTTGTTGAACTTTTTGGGAGGTTTGCTTTACCTTGGTCAGTCACAAGATTAATGTAGACCGCGAGATATGATTTACCAAATTTTTATTGCAGGTTTGTCATCGAGCCATAAAATAAAATGAACACGTCCCAAACTCTTTACCTGAATTATAACGTTACTGGAAATCCACACTTTGAGAAACGCGGTGCTTTTGTTTGTGAACTCCAGTTATCGCACTTTAGCATGGAAATAAATCCTCGATGGATTTCTCCGGGTGATGTCTTCATTTTTTATTGTGTATTGGAATTGCTTCAGACGATCACTCGAATCACGCATTGCAACGGCTCCAGAAACCCAGGGCGAAAAGCCAGACTTTCAAGCAGGATGTCTAATTCTGGGACAAACCGACGATTAACGGCCGCCCTACTGGCAGAACTATTGACTGAAAAGTAGAACGGCTGAAAAGGAGCGAACGACTGATGATGCAAGTGTCTCAAAGGAACATTCAGCGGAAGTGATGTTAAGGAACAAGTCTCCCAGAGTGAAGATCAACAGCGTCAGCGAAAACGAAATGCGCATAGTTTCCACTTTTGATAAAAGTCTAGAAAAATGAGTCACTCAAGGGAGGTTAAGCACAACATCTTGGGGGTTCAGGTGCTTCTACGAGAACTTGATCCAGCCGGACCTGATAAGATAGATACTGATTGTCCCAAGGTTTCGTATAAATCGGTAGATTAGTTTTGAGGGCCGATCACGCTGTTATTTATGTACCTCTACGGCTGCTCTCTACCTATTCACCAGAAACACGCTATCGTCTACCGTTTTCTGAGATAGTGACAAGTCTTACCTTAAGGATGACAGTGATTACGTTACTGAACGCGCTGGTCAAATTCTCGGATGAACTGATGAGAGATGCACCCAAAGACAACTTTTGGGAATGAAGTGCTGCTTGATCCACCAGGTTCACTTGGTTTCCTTACTATCGCCCGACTGGGTTCATCCTATATTTGGGTCCAACGAGAACTGAACAGTACCTTCCCTCAAGAAATTTCAAGTGTTATGTATGATTCGCATCATTTCGGTATCATGATGGGATTTTTCCCATCCTTTGTTTACTTGCACTTGAGCAGCTGCGCTCAGGTTCGTCTATTATTCTTCATTCGGAGAGGTTGGTGGTCAAGTGGATGGATCTTGTGACCAGGTCTAAAATGGTGCATGCATTAAGGCATTTATTGTAACCCGAGATGCTACTTGAGTACGTTTTCGTTACCTTCTTTGCTTCATACTTGCGATTTGATCCGTATATGCCGCGTATTCTTAGTTCAGATCATTCCAGATTTATACTGACTTACCCATCCCTCTCTGATGCCATACATTTCCTTATGGAACTGGCTGATCGGATTTATGATGATTTTCGTTTGTAGCGTAGTTGTCGCTTCTTGGAACGCCACTACTGAAGGATATGACATCAACAGCAGCCTTGAAGAAGTTTGAACATCAACTTCCCTGCAGCCTCAAAACTTCCTCTTTCTATCCTAGTTTGTTTTCCCATTCCTATTTTTTCGGGCGGGCTCTTTTTTATTTCTTTTCATTTTACGCTTTTGAAATTGTTTAGATGGATAGTTTTTTGTCTGTTTACCTACTTTACGTGATCGACACAACAAGGACCGTTCGTGCAGGACACGTACGGATTGGTTCGTTCAACGTAATATCAATCTGCTGACTTCTGTTCTGGCTGGATGGAAGCAATCAATTCGGAACTTCAGCAGGAATCTATTGTTCTGGTCCTATTGGGGCGTACACCCTCGACCTAATGTTGTTTACCGTGGCGACAAGTAGCGAAATGGTTACGGCTTCTGATTGGTACCTCACAGCTCGCTGGTTTAAACCTGCATTAGTCACGGCCACATCGCAGAATGCAACCCTCATCCTAAAGGTAGCGGTTGCATTGTGGCGGATCTTTGGCGTATTGCTAATACTTTTTAGACAAACCTACATGGAGGAACTCACTATCCCTGACCGGTCACGCATGTCACGTTTGGCTGCCTTGCGAGTTCTAGATATCAACCTACGAATTGCGACCGAAGTCCTAGTACCGATCATGGGGACCCCTGATTTAATAATGGTAGTAATGGTATTCGGCTTGCAGCATACGCCTCGTGCTCGATCCCCCTTTTCTGCACAGGTTTTGACACTTCTGTAGCGTCCCAGCCCGCGTACAACCGATCGCGATTGCTTGACAGTGTAGCATTGGTACGTAATACCGATGTACTATTGACGCTTTGTGAAGAAATGGCGTACCGTGGAAGGTTCACAGCTTTGCTGACTGCATTTATCTGGTCCCCGCATATCGACTAGTTGAATCCAATCAGGGCTATCATAGGCGGTAAAGAGTGTGCTTATTAAGATTAGCGATGTTGAAGGAGGTCCTAGGGTTTTATTGTCACACTTCAAAGGGCTGAAGGTCTATACGGCTCATCTAGACGATTGTCACTGTTTAACCTCTTGTTTCGTCTCCACCACTGTTGGTCCTGTTATTTATTTCTTATTTTCTCTTGGTATCTCCCTTTCGGCTTGATCTCTGGTGATTATGATAATTGCGTCAGACTGTTGACAAAATATTAGGTAGACATTTCGTATGTCTTCGTCTCTTGTTTAATGGTTGCGTTACCAACATCTAACCACCTGTATGAAATACCGACCCGGCAGCTTCCTTGGTCCAGTTTAATTAATTCTCTTGTTTAAGTGGCTTTGTACAATTTGCATAGTTTCGACTTCGAATTACACTCCTCTTCGTCTTCATTGCTACCGGTTCGCATAGCTCTCATAGCTAGTCTACTATACCAGTCTCGCGGTTGCCTGTACTTCAAACTATCGCATAAGCTGTATCCTGCACTCATCTCGTTGATTTGATCTGCCGTTCAACATTTTTCTACCACCTTTCATCTCGACTAATACCCCCACTCGTTACGTTGCTGTCGCTCGCGTTCTACTGACATTTGTTTTACTTTTTAGCCTCACGGATCTACCTCTCGAACCACTACGCATTGAACCCGGAAGATCTCAAACTCCCGCGCTGAACGCACACTACGTGTCTTGTGCGGATCTAGTTATCAGAATGCAGAACCCGCCAAAATCCCTAGCAAAGCATAATAATGACCGTTCGACTGTACACCAGTCACACCGGATACGAAGATGGGCGGTTTTCCAAAATTATTTCAAAACATTCCCTGCCATCATTAGAGTGACAGAAATTATTTTCATGTTGACGCTATTCGGCATAAGCTGCGTTGAGAAAAAGTTTCTAGCCACAGGTGGTTCGTGGATGGTGATCACGGTCGTGCTGGCATGCTTGTCTTCGCTTTGTTTTCTTTTGTTCCACTGGTTCTTGCTCCATCGGTTTGTTGCGGCTCCTTGGACGCTGATAGTGAGTTTTGAGATTGTTTCAACCACCTAGACAGGAATTTCTGGTAGCTGTTACAATATGTCTTCTGATATTTTCAAGTGGCGTCCTTTCCGCCGCATACTCCCACATCGGTTCCGTCATGATCGCACAGACGGTGAGTGTTTACGGATTTATGTGCACCTGTATTGTCTTTGATCATCTCACTGACATTATTTCCCTGGACCAGTGGTGCCGATCAGTCGGGAAAGTCCACCATAACTGCCCGTTTCTTTGGCCTCTTCCATTTTCTGAGCCTTTTTCGTTCAGTTTGCTTCTTTCTCAACACGCAGTCTCCGTTTCTGCTCGCGCCTAATTGTTTCTTTAACCTAATTGTGCACAGAGCCAGAAGCGACTTTTTTTCTCAGTCTTAACAAGTGCAGGCCTTTCGTATATCTGGGGTCCATTTCACCGCTCCGCCTCTAATATGGCGGCCAAGATTCCATCTAGCCAAGGCTCGATGTCTTTTGAGTAGATAGGTGTCTAGGTTTGGGCGCCCCAGTATTATCCATGCCTACGTGTCGTCATGAATGACGGAATGTGTCATCAACTTGCATCGGTCGTCACGTAGTTCCATGAATACTGGCTGTACCCACGGACGCCGCGGAATTTTCTGCTACCACGCGCTGGATCCTGCTTTTTCTCTGGAATTACTGTATTTTACGTGTGTTGCTGTGTTAGTTGTGCACCAAACTTTTTAGTTTCGTGTGTTCATCAATCCGTGAAAGTTTCGTGGAATTCCGCTTGATATCTTCGGAGATCTCAGTGATTTACGGCTGTGCCCGTCATTTTGGAATTTGTGATCGACATCTTGCTTGTCCTCGTGCTTGAAAAAATACAACAACTATGCCGAATATCATGCAACGACGTATCTGCTCTTCAGCTAATTGCGGCAAAGCCCTTAAAATGGGTATAACGTGCCGAAACTGCAGTGGCTCGTTCCACCCGAGCTGTATAGGAAAGTCCGCCCAAGAAGCAAGGCAAATAAACAAGGCAGCTGACGCATTTTGGTTTTGTCCAACTTGCCAGTTAACTCCAGTGGTCGGTTGTTTATGTGCACTCATGGAAAGGTGCGATACTTTGAATGCGACAATCGCTTATTTGTTGAACGCCAGGCTTGCACCACCGGCCGCGAATATGGCCATGATTGTACCACAGTCGGTCAAAGAAAGCTCCACCTCGAGGTCGAAAAAAAGGGCTAGACGCTCAAGCCGCGCTGCAGCCTCAGTTTCTCCAAATCCCCTGCCTCACTCAACTCCCAAAAGCGGACGAACATCCAGAGTACTGAAGTCCACACCTTTGAGTCACACGCCCCACCTCCATTCAACAGCAACCGCGGAAGCTCCGGGGCAAACCTCTTCCGCCGTAGAGAAAAGTCGGGCGTCGTACGCCTCAGTCGCCTCCATGCATACACCGGCTAAATTACCTCCGACTCCGGTGGCCTCACCAAGCAACAGTAAGTTGACCAGACTCCAACAACCAAACAATCCGTTTAACACCGTGTCTGTAAGTCATGGCAAATCTGCATCCAACGCAAGGAGCCAAGGCGCGTTAACCGTGGTGTGTACAAATGTTCCTGAATCACAGGCGAGTACAATAAAGGGGAAGCTGTTGGATGATCGTAATCAGTGGAAGTCTATATGTACTGCGATTGGCATTTCGGTTGAACCTGCAATGCTGAGACGAGTCACACGTCATCCAAATTCAGCGCACTACGGTGAACCCCGACTTCTCCGGGTGACACTAAACTCCACCAAGGACACAGAGGCAGTCCTACTATCGTCCAACAGGCTTCGTCATTCATCACTCGAGGCGCGCATACTTCCTGATATCCCCTGGAACGAACGTCCGAAAAAGATGAGCAACCGTGAGGAAGTTCGTAAAGCCGAGGCGAAACGGACGATAATTGTGTACGGGGTTCCTGAGCTCCAAAACTCAACCTCTGATGCAGCGGATGCACATGACCGGGAGCAATGGAGTTACATCCGCCACGAAATCTCCCTCAATAATATCATCGCTAAGCGGTTGACCAGGATTCCATTTTCACCCAACTACAAAGGGAACGGTCCCAGACTTATGAAGGTGGTGCTTCAATCTGAGTTTATGTTATCGCTCGCCTTGGAAAACTGGTCCAAATTCCGCATGAAGCTGCCAGCGGAAATTCGATTAAAGGCATCAGGTACGCTGCCACGGATTACCAACGACTCACGGGGAGCGATCAAATTGTTGAACCATCCACTCATGCAACTTTGTGAAGGCATAGATTTATCGACAACCACAATCTCCCACGAAACACGGCTGAACACGGGGGACCAGCAGGGCCCGGAAGGCCGCGATCAGTCGTCTAACCGAAAGCAAACTCAAAGGCAAACGTCACCACAAAAAAACGGTTAATGGCCGACCCGTTAACGGTCGGCACAAACTCCATTCCTACCACAACCTGTGCTAGCTCACTCTTGGTTACAAAAGCACTATCCTGCATGTATACTAATGCACAAGGCCTCATAAGTAAGTTGGTAGAACTCCGTCACCGTTTGGCTTCGGAGCCTCGAGACATCATAATGATCGCCGAAACCTGGCTGAGCGGCGAAATCACAGACGCTGAGATTGCCATACCGGGTATGTCACTTCTCCGGAACGACAGAACGGGCAAGGGCGGTGGTGTGCTCATTTATTTCCGAACGAACCTTCGTTGTGAGCTCATAGACGATCCCCAGACTTGTGTCACCGACGTCCTTTGGTGCAAACTGTGGTTGGAACGCAACGACGTATGCCTTCTCTCTGTGGTTTACCGACCACCGAAATCCACTCCGGAAAGGGACAACAGACTTATCTCCGCTTTTCGCTCCGTGCTTAATCAGAAGTACAGCCACATCCTCGTTGCAGGAGATTTCAACACCCATGACTTGGAAAATCCAGCATCCGAGACAGAAGTGTTCAAGGCATATTTGCAAGAGCTACTCTCTAGCACCTTCTTGTATAACCACGTCACCGTTCCAACCAGGTTCAGAACAGGAAACAACCCATCGATATTAGATCTAGTGCTCACTAACGAAGAGCTCATGGTCGATGGACTAAAGGTGTGCAGTCCTTTGGGCCGTAGCGATCACGTGACTTTGCAGTTCGATTACATCTGCTACGCCGAATATCCAGCTGCGGAGCTCGAAACGAGGCAATCTGTTACCCATTACCACGTTCTGTCTGCTCTAGTTGAGAATACCAGTTGGACGTTTCTAGCTAACTGCACCCCAGAACTAGCCTGGGAGACATTCGCGAACACCATCACGTCACTAGTCATAGAAGCCTCAACACCAAAAGTTTCCCAACATCCCCGCACAGCGAAATCATTCTTGCGAAGCCGGACGCGAAAATGCATGACTCTAAGGGATCGGGCATGGCGCATGTATAAAAGCAACCCCAGCGCAGAAAACTGGACGGAATACGTTTCGCATCGCAACTACTGTGTGCTTTTGGTTCGCGAAGACAAGAGAACGCATCAGCAGGAGCTAGCCAAACGATTCTGTTCGAACAAAAAGCTTCTTTACAAACATGTGAATGGACTTCGCAAGGTGCAACGGGGAATCCCACCACTTAATACGACCAATGGGTATACACATACTGCGAAGGAGGCGGCCAACGCATTACGGGCCCAGTACTCCCCAATCTTCCAAGGTGTACAAGCCTCGACGTATATTCCGCCACTAGTTACCCCACCGTCCGTTTTATCCAACGTCACGTTCACTGCAGAAATGGTGCTGCAAAAGCTGCTATCCTTGCGTCCACACAGCTCTCCCGGGGCCGATAACATTCACCCGAAAACATTACAGGTAGCTGCCATCCACTTGGCCGAACCACTAGCTGCATTTTTTCAGCGCTGTTTCGATGAGAACATCGTACCTTCGAGGTGGAAACAAGGTGTAATAACGCCCATATACAAAGCAGGAAGTCGATCGGATCCTGCCAATTACCGCCCCGTAACGCTTCTGCCTGTGATCGCCAAAGTCATGGAAGCGGTGATAGCAGATGCGTTAATGGGATACTTGGAAAACTACGGCATAATTGCGCCAGAACAGCATGGGTTTCGTCAACATCGTTCATGTACGACGAATCTGCTGATAGCTCGTGACAACTGGACCGAGACTGTCGATGAGGGAACAGGAGTCGATGTCGCATTCTTGGACTTTTCGAAAGCCTTCGATCGCCTGGATCATCGAATCCTGCTCATTAAACTCCAACAGTACGGTATCGGAGACCCGTTGTTAGGATGGATCGGTAACTTTCTCTCTGAACGGCAGTTAGAAGTTAGAGTTCGATCATCCTTTTCCGATCCGATTCGAGTGGGATGCGGCGTACCGCAGGGTTCGGTACTTGGGCCTCGTTTGTTCCTGCTTTTCATTAACGATCTAGTAAGAGTTATTACGTCGAAATTCTTACTCTTCGCGGACGACCTCAAGGTTTGGCGGGCGATAAAACGATCGGACGACCATGAAGTCCTACAGCGTGACTTGAATGAGGCCTGGAATTGGTCGGTGAGAAACGCCCTGCCGTTTAATGTGAACAAATGTCGCGTTGTTCATATCCGCCATCGACAAGTCCACGTCTACAAGCTTGGGGCACACGATCTGAAGACCACCACTCAGGAACGCGACTTGGGTGTGCTGGTACAGGAAGACCTCGGGTGTTCCAAACAGTCAGATTCCGCTTCTAAAAGGGGCAACCAGCACGTTGGACTCCTGCGAAGAGCATTCGGAATTTTGGATCCATCCATCTTCTCTTTGATGCTGAATGCCTACGTGCGTCCTCACGTCGAATATGCAATCCAGGCCTGGCAACCCTGGCTAAAACGTGACCTTGCAGCGCTTGAGACCCCACAGCGTCGAGCAACGAAAATCGTCAAGGGCTTGCGCCACACTCCTTACCAGGAACGACTGGAGATACTCGGAGTGTTCAGCGGACGGTACCGGCGACTTCGTGGAGACCTCATACTAGTGTACCAGATATTGAGCGATCCCAGTCACGTATGCCGCCACCTCTTGAAGCTCAGCCCAAACACTAACCTTCGCGGTAACAGTTTAAAGCTGAGCCATCAGTACAGTCGTCTAGACTGTCGGAGAACCT